GGTGTGGAAATGGGGGGGGTGGGAACGGGGGTGGGAGCAGGGGTGTGGGAACGGAGATATGGAAATGTGGTATGGGAATGGGAGTATGGAAATGGGGGTAGGGGAACGGGGGAATGGGACCAGCAGTGTGGGAACCGAGGTATGGAAACGAGGATATGAAAATGCAGATATGGAAATGGGGGTTTGGTGATGGGGGTATGGGAATGGAGACATGAAAATGAGGATATGGAAATGAAGATACAGAAATGAGGATGTGAAAACGGGGGTATGGAGGTTCCTGCAGAGCACTGAGGATAACTTCTTGACCCAGGTGGTGGAGACGCCAACAAGGAGAGGTGTGCTGCTAGACCTTGTACTAACAAACAAAAAAGGTCTGGTTGGAGATGTGAAGGTTGGGAGCAGCCTTGGCTGCAGTGACCATGAGATGGTGGAGTTCAGGATCCTGCGAGGAGGGAGCAGGACAATAAGTAGGATGATACACACATCAATAGCAAAAGGAAGACTAGGGAAAACGTGGGTCCACTGCTGAATGGGGTCGGGTGCCCTGGTGACGAAGGATACAGAGAAGGCAGAGCTGCTGAATGCTGCCTTTGCTTCAGTCTTCACTGCTAAGGCCAGCCCTCAGGAATCCCTGACCCAGGAGACAAGAGAGGAAGGCTGGAGAAAGGAAGACTTTCCCTTGGTTGAGAAGGATTGAGTTAGAGATCGTTTGGGCAAACCTGACATCCACAAATCCATGGGCCCCAATGGGATGCACCCACGAGTGCTGAGGGAGCTGGCGGATGTTATCGCTAGGCCACTCTCCATCATCTTGGAAAGGTCCTGGAGATGAGGAGAGGTGCCTGAGGACTGGAAGAAAGCCAATGTCCCTCCAGTCTTCCAAAAGGGCAAGAAGGAGGAGCCAGGGAACTACAGGCCTGTCAGCCTCACCTCCATCCCTGGAAAGGTGATGGAACAGCTCCTCCTGAAGGTCATCACTAAGCATGAGGAGGACAAGAAGGTGATCAGGAGGAGTCAGCATGGATTCACCAAAGGGAAATCATGCTTGACCAATCTGATAGCCTTCTATGACGGAATGACTGGCTGGGTAGATGAGGGCAGAGCAGTGGATGTTGTCT